CAGATTAATCTAGCTTAGCATCTGTTTTTTATGAACTATTCGGCCAAAATCTCATGAGTATATATTTGGTGTTACGGACATATTTGGAAGATAGCTTACCACAAGTAAAAGGTAAGATCAAAAGTTGTTAAAGCCCTGCGCAGGTTAGTCTTTCTCCAAAAATTATCGAATTACCGTCATAAGAGATGCTTAGCAATCATTTGTTTTGCTTGGAAATTGATTTTCATGAAACAGTAAAATCGCTTTGCACTTGGTATTCATGAATTTTTCAACGAGTATCTCATGAGTATATACCTAAAGCGGGTTTGGTGATACGGAAATATTGAGAAGATAGCTGACCACAAGTGAAGGACATTATCAGCAATTGTTACTGTTAGATATCGATCATTTTGTTCATTCTTCAATATGGAATTGCCGTTACAAGAGATACTTAGGAATGTTCAGTACCGCTTAATGTTTGATAATCATGAAATATTGATATCGCTTGGCATGTGAGGTGAATTATTCGGCCAATATTACATGATGTCCATCATACCTAACGCATTGTTGGTATTCAAGCAATATTTAGAAGATAGCTCATAAGTCAACGACAATATTAGCGACCGATAGATACAGCGCATGTAAGCAGAGCTTACTGGTGCTTAATGATACCTCGCCAGTTTGCGGTACTGCGTAGTTCAAGTTAGTGAATATTCCAGTGATACTAAGCCGAATATTTGCTGCCTGGTTTGTAGGTGTTTCATGTATATGCACTGTGTTCGCTTGTATTATGTTTGGATCATGTAATTGACATGCTATGGCTTAGTATTTAACGAATACTGTAATCGCAGTCTATTGGTGTTTCCTTAGTAAATGGCACGTTGCCAATAGTTAGTAGATTGAGTTGGGAACTAGTTCTTCTATAATTTTCGTTACATTTGCTATATTGTGAATTGAAAAAAAATTATAGGGTCGTTAAATTAAACTCATGCAACTGTTCAGTACATATTTTCTCAATACATAGCTGGTCTTAAAGTTACAAAAGCTGAATAACAAATAAGTCTAAAGCGAATAATGTTTGCGTGCTAGATAGTGGCTTTTCAGCGGATGGAAGGCTGGTATTTCACTATATTTTAGAAATGTACCCTGCGCTGTAGTTCCAATTTCCTATCATTCCTACATTAACCGCCAAGCCCCGAAATTTTTTCACCATATAGAAAGTTGGATAAATCTTGTCTTTGTATGCTCTTTCGAGCTGAGCAAGGAGATGCTCCTGAAACTGTATGCGCTGTAGAATGTATTCGGCGTCGAGATGGTTATTACAGACACAGAAGCTGTACAGCAAACAAGTCTGTTGGTTATAACAAACTCCACATGCAACCGACGGCTTTTTGACATAGCAGAAACACATATCGTCACATCAATGATATCTATCTAGAATATGGGTTCTGTTGGACCATCACATTAGGAGGGGGGTTCAGTTTGTCTGCTACAGTATCTTCTTCACGTGTTGAAATCAGAATGCGGATCAGGGTTCGTATCCCCACCTCCGAGCTGAAGATTGCGTCCTTGGTGTGAGCTTGTGAGGAGCGCCCGTATATTAAATAAATAAATAAATAAATATATATATATCTAGGTTTGTTCGGGATTTTGTATTGAAATCAACAAAAATCCTGGGGAATACCATGCTTTCGACCGCCGACACCAACAAAGTTCAAATTTTCCTATGGAATTTTTGGATTTCTGTAAAGAACCCAAAAAACCCTACAGAATACCACAATTTGCCTAGCGAGACCAGCAATATCCGAACATGTCCTAGGGTTTTTTGGATTTTATGCAAAAAATTAAATGGAAATCCAAAATTTCCAAAACATTGCCAATCCAAAGATTCTGCAAAAATCGTTGATGTTTGGATTTCTGTAATATGTTAGTCCGTCATGAGGTTCAAACATAAACACAATTCAGTCGAATCTCGTGGCAAAGTTTTGGGTATACACAGTTCGTTCATTGCGGTTGCGCCTTGTTTCAAGTTTGCCTCGTTATGCTCCGAACCACGGATTTTGTGACATAGTTTTGAGTGGATTTGTGAGTTTCTGATCACAGCAAAGTCATCGGTACTAACGATGGTTTCTTTGCGTTTTACATATCGAAGAAAGACGGAGGTGGATCCTGGCGGGGGCGGGGTGACCATATCTATATACTATATACTTGTATATAGGCATACATTTTTATGTATGTACATATGTATGTATGCATGCATGAATGTATGTATGAATGCATGTAGAAAAGCACTGTTTCTTTGTATGCATTTACACATATACGTACACACACACACATATATATATATACCCACACTTACTTACTTACTTGCTTGCTT